ACCTGGTGCGTCACCTTCTCGAGTAGCTTCTCCATGCGGTCCAACCTATCATTGACTTCCGGTTTGTCACCGGACATAGATGCCACCTTCCCCTTACGACCCTTGCGGGGGTGATACGCCAACTCAGGATATAGAGTCGACTGAGGGTCTGGGATCGTCCGCTCCATCCTTCGCTGATGCAAGTTATTCTGGGCCGTCGTGGCCAGGTCGTTCAGGATCCGTACGGATTCCACTTCTGATCTCCGTATTTGGCTCTGGATTTCCGGGAGGAGGTTGGCATGTAGCAGGTCCAGCTGGTTCTCGTGCGTCATTTTGGGGTTCAGCCGACTCATTAGGCCCATCATGTTCGCGATGTAGACGTTCGCGGATTCGTCTGGGCCCTGATATCGGCCTTGAACCTCTTTGGTTAGACGCTGCTGTTGTTGCCTGCTGGTCCCAAACCATGCTCTGGCGTCTGCCTCGAAATCCGCGTAGGAGAATCATTCGTTTCGCATTGCTTCGTACCAGACGAGGGCAGGACCGACGAGTAGCTCGGATACAGCCATGAGCATCTCGTCTTCTGTGAGTCCGGCACTGCTCCTCGAGTTGTCCAGCCTTGATAGGAAGGTGTCAATGCTCGCGTTGCTTTCTCCGGAGAACCTGAGTTTCCATTCCCGGACGATGCGGCCGACGTCCCTTGTTGTCGACCACGGGTTTGACGTCTGTTGGGATGACCACATGCTCGGCGGGTGGTTGTCCACTTCAGCATTAACTCCACCGAGTTAATGCTGTCCACCCTCTCCGAAAGGGGGCGTCCGGCGGGGGGGTCCTGCCGGCGGCCCCCGTGGGCCTCTGTCCGGGTCCGGCTGGAGTGCTCTGGAGTAGCCTGGCGTCGTAGTGGCATGTGAACGTGTCCTGGAATGCAACGCTCCTAAGCGTGTTTTCGGGTTGTGGCTCCTCGTTGGAACTGTTCGCATCTTCTTGCCGCATATCTCTGTGTATGGCATTTTCCAGTGCGTTCATCCTGGCTGACAGGTTGTCCATTTGGTCCTGCACCTTGATGTTGGTCCTGAGGATTTGTTCTACTATTTGTGTTAGGTTAGACATATTCGAACTCCGTGAGTCTTGTATCTCCCATTTCTTCTCATTTTCTCTGGACCGGAAAATGAGGTCTTGAATCATCACCGCGAATGCCGGCGGGAGTTTGAACTGGCTGCCAACGTCAGCCGTTATAGTAATACTCTTATTACTGTTCGTGTTCTCTCCGCTGTCCAGGGCATTCGCGATGTTTATCGCGGTTTTCTGAACTCGCGATATTACGTCCGCACTCTGCATTAGTTGGGCTAGCGGGTGTTCTCCCTCCTGCTCGGATGCTGTGTGTTCCTGGCATAGGGATACGATTAGCTCCGAGCGTAGGGCTGCTTTTTTGGCTGGACTGCTGTGCTGGTTGTTGACTTCCGCGAAATCTGCTGTGGAGTAGTCACCAAGCAACCAGTTATGCAGGCGGCCAGCTCTCGAGAGCTTGGTCCCACTTGTTTTGAGCTCCAGTTGCTCGAGGTACTCTTCGATTTCCTCCTCTTGGAGCGACAATACCCTATTTTCTATCTCTGTCTAAGTGCGGTCCATAATTCTCTGTTTGTTTACTTGCGTTTAATTTCTTTGTAAACTTTACAGGTATGTTACGCGAGTGCGAGTGTTGTATTAAAATTCGTACGCCAAATGGAAATAAAAAAAAATTTTATTAGCCAACACTGGGCTTGATCAAAGGCGTTTTACGATTTATTTGCCGAAAGATTCTTCGCTCGTTAATACGCAATATAATGATCCTGCCTATCAAACGCACTAACTGTTTGTTAGCGCGGCTGTGTTGGTTAGTATCTAAAATATTCTAACGAGCGTTGCGCGTGATCACCAATAACCGCAGTTAATAATATTTAAAAAAAAAATGTTTACTTTAAGGTAACACGACATCAATTGAAATTACTAAATTAAATTAATTTCGTTTGAAAATTGCCGGTGTTAGTTTTCCCCGGGCCAACGGGTATAATAATATTATTTGCGGCAACTTTCAAAATTCGTTGGTGTTTACGCTTAAGAATCTTTCGGTCGCACTCGCACGCGTTCACAGCTATTGTTTACACTTTTACGTCGCGGCGGGCCTTCGCAAGTTAACTAACAGGCTTTGTTTACTAATGTGGCCTTGGGTATCAAGTGTGCACAACAACACTTGATTGCCACCTAAGTTGCTAGTTGACTGGGCGCGAGGTCACTATTGAGAACCGGTGTTTTGAACAATCAAAACACCGTAGGTTCTTTAACGTTGGGCGCCATGTAACGGGGTAAAACCGTTTAATTATATTTTATTCGCGTAATTAAATCAAAGGGGCGAAAGTAATTATTTATGCTCAAAGTGCAGTTCGGAGAGCATGTGAAGACAGGCGTCAGCCAACCAGTAATCCTAATTAACCTATAATAAATTGAGTGGAAGCTATGAAGTATAAGCGAGTCGATAAACACTTGTTAGTAATACGAACTAAACCTTTTATTATTCCTCAAATACTACACAAAATCGGCCCGCGCGTTTGTTTACATCGACGCTCGCTCATCGACAACACGTAATGTCGGGACGCTCGCCGCGCTTTGTTAATAGCGCTATTACATGCACGCTTCGGAAACGCTGATTTATTTATTAACCATGCAATCGCTATCGCTAGATTAAGCTGGCCAGCTTAGCTTATTATTGCAGGCGTACGGAGAAAACGACAGTCACATACTGCGCGGAATTGTTTATGTTCGTCTTTCGCCGGTCGCAAATGCGCGCACACACGGTTTCGCCCTCGATGGCGAAACCACACACACTCTGCCGATCTCCTGGGGGCCGGTGCTTCCTCGCTGGCTCGGGTCTCTCCCTTAGGCTGCTGAAGGGCACCTTGACGACGGCAGTCACAGCTAACCAGCACTTATCTGCACGTCCTTCCCTCGATAAGTTGGCGTCAACGGCACGTGAATTGTCGGTAGCGAAAAGAAAGCGGCGGACTCTATGATAGTCAATGCTTCACTAGTTCGGTTTCAATCGCGCGCGTTCCGTCTGCTCGCGTGCCGAATTCCTTCGTTACGTATTTCGTCCCCCCGGTAGGTGCTGCCCTCCCAGACAGTAATTAAGTTAGGTTATCAGCACTAATTTGACGTTTACCGTCACAACACACAGAAAATGTAAGTTTCAATAAGGATATATTATTCGCAGTTTTAAGAAATAATTTACCGTGTAAATCACAAATTGGCTATTTACTGCTTTTTATTAATACTTCATTAATGAAAACGAAAAACATAATAGCTTATATTTTTATTATAGCACTAATTTATTAGGAAAATGTTTTAAAATATTTTAAATTAATATGCATGTTATAGTATATGTAACGTCGGATAATTCATAGTACTATTTTTTTTAATTTTTTTTCTATTACGAATTCAATGGTTCAAACTGCATAATTTCGAGAAACGAAAATACGTTGGAAGGTTTCTCTTCTCAAGGTTTCTACAAATTCCAAGAGAAGACAAGCTGACCAAATATTTTGCGATTAGAAAATAGATATAAGAAATTTTACGACTTTGTTATGTGCGTCCATGTCCTTGTATTAACAGCATGGGCTGCCGACGCCCAAACCCTATGCGGAATGTAGAAAAAAAGAGAAAGCTCCTCTCATGCGTTTTCCACTGAGTTTTCATTTTTCCGTTTAGTTTAGTCATCAAAAGTTAAAAATTTATTTTATTCTATTGAATAGCTTGTGCAGTTAGATAAATTAAGTCGTACGATTTATCATTTAAGCTACGTTTTATTTAAGTTTAAAGATGTGAATAAATAACATTTGAGAATTAAATATAATTCTCAGATTGTTATTTATATATATTTAGTAACGAATAATAGATAATAGTTAAATAATAAGTATGTTAAGTCCTTGCACGGTAAGAAATGGGTACTTTTATACGCGATTTGGCATGAGCAACTCCATCTGTCTTAAAGAAACTGTACGTTCTCCTAATGCGGGAAAATTTCCACCAATCAGTTTTGGAGTTTTCATGCCCAAATCCTTCAGAGGCCCTTGCGGCCTTATTTTGAAAGAGAGCGCATCACGAGGGAATGTGCTAAGTAAGGCGCGAACTGTTCGCCACTGCTACGCCACCCGCAGTAAGAAGTGCCACGCTCAAAAAATACACTCTCTCTCAAGTAGCCCAAGGATTCTATTACGAAAACGATCAAAGTTTCCATTGATCGTTCTAAAGGATTCTACAAAAAAAAAATATATATAAAAGTAAGTTTTATTTCTAATACTAATTTTTTTTATTTCTTCACCTTTCACAAACTATTTTTCCCAATTCCGTATCGCTCGGTCCTCTCATTGAAAAACGAGTTGGATAGAGTTGATACAATAGTTTAATGCTCAGAACTTGGATCATTAGGATCTTTATAGGTCTGAGTGGAATCTATAGTTGATGATTCTCTGTGCCTTCCGAAAAGATTTGCGCTAGAATAATCGATTTAGATTCAGGAATTAGAAAAGCACCCACCCCGTGCGCATCAAATTTTTCTGTATTTTAGCAAACACCAATCTTTCCTTACCCGGGTAAAGTGAGAAATCACAGCCCAAAAAGGATTAGAAATCATCACCTCACGAAAAGTGAGACGTAATATATAATCTGATATGTAATAAGATTTAAATTATGGTAAATTTATTAAACTAGAAGTTTATCGCGCGCTACGCGCGCTGTAAATCGCTATTTCAATTATACATTGTTATATAAAAATATCATAATATTTCATTAATTAAGTATTCATGTAAATATTAAACAAATTGTTAGTAAGTAAGGCCATACAATATAATTAACAGTATGTATTTTCAAAATTTAATTAATCTTGAAATAATTCCTTGTAAACGTCATTTTTTGCTTTATTCGAATGTATTTGGCTTCCAAAATAGATTTTTATAGAATTCCACGATCTAACACGAGAGAATGCTACATACAATTGCCCATGACTAAAAACATCTTTTCGTAAATCAACGACAACTTTTCGGAAGGTTTGCCCTTGAGCTTTGTTAATAGTCATAGCAAATGCTAATTTAACTCGGAACTGTCTCCTTTTAAAAGCAAACGGATATTCGTTTTCGCAATATAAAGTAATGCGGTTCAAGAAAACTACTTGTCCTGTTTTATCACCCGTTAAAATTTTACATTTTATTAAATGATTTGATAGATCTATTACTTGCAACCTTGTACCATTGCATAGACCTTCATTAATGCTGATATTTCTTATTAACATTACGATACATTTTTTTTTTAAATGTAATTTGTAAGGTGGCAAGCATGGTGGGTTTAAAGCATTCAAATGTTCCAGCATAATAACATCATCGAATTCACCATTATTTTTGTTTATGATAGTATCAATAGCAGTATAAAAGCGTTGATCTGTGTCATCTAATAAATCCGTTATTTGTCTATTGATCTTATCTACGTCTTCATTCCTAGCAGACAAAATTGCACAACTACTCATTTCATCAAATTTTTTGTCTTTAATTAGTTGACCAAAAATATCATCTATTATGCTAACTGTTTTGGGAAGTATACAATGATGAGGAATATCTATGTAATCATCTGTATCATTTAGTGAACCATTTCCAACATTTATCAAAAAATTAGAAAATTCAATTTCATTTGGCAGAACCCTCATATTAGTCGTTAGTATATATTTTGTGAAATTTTTCTACGATGGGTTGTACTTGTATGGTACTGTATCCATCTTATGGATCGAAGGATGCATCAAATTTTGTGTAAAAAATAAAATAAAGTGCTCCGAAACACTTGAAATGTTGACGGTGGCATACGGTGAAACTGTTCTGAGTAAAAAAAATGTTTACAAGTGGTACAAACTCTTCCAAGATGGCCGGGAAGATGCCAATGACGAGCCTCGTTCTGGACGCCCAAGCACGTCAACAACTGATGAAAACGTTCAAGCAGTGAAGAAAATTATTCTGGAAAATCGTCGAATCACTATCAGAGAAGTTGCTGAGGATGTTGGTATATCACTTGGCTCGTGCCATGAAATTTTTTCTAACGTTTTGGGCATGAGACGTGTGTCAGCGAAGTTTGTTCTGAAATTGCTAAATTTTGACCTAAAGAACCGTCGCATGAGCATCGCTCAAGAACTGTTGAATGACGTCAACGACAACCCAGATTTACTCAAAAGGGTCATAACTGGTGACGAATCATGGGTATATGGTTATGATATCGAAACCGAAGTCCAATCGTTCCAATGGAAGAGCCCAGATGAGTTAAGACCGAAAAAAGCACGCCAAGTTCGATCAAATGTCAAAGTTTTGCTCACTGTTTTCTTCGATTACCATGGCGTGGTGCATCAAGAGTTCTTACTATATGGACGTACGGTCAATAAACAGTATTATCTTGAAGTTATGCGCCGTTTGCGAGAAGCAATATGAAGAAAACGCTCAGAATTGTGGAAAAACAATTCATGGCTTTTTCATCACGATAATGCCCCTGCTCACTCATCTTTGCTTGTGAGAGATTTTTTGGCCAAAAACAACACCACAATCATGCCTCAGCCACCATATTCACCGGATTTGGCCCCATGTGACTTTTTCTTGTTCCCAAAACTAAAGAGACCTATGAAAGGACGGAGATTTGCAACGATTGAAGAGATAAAGACTGCATCGCTGGAAGAGCTCAAGGCTATACCGAAAAGTGCTTATGAGAAGTGCTTTGAGGATTGGAAAACCCGTTGGCATAAGTGTATTATATCTGAGGGGGATTACTTTGAAGGGGACAACATAAATATTGATAAATAAATAAATATTTTTTCTTAAAAATACAAAGTCACCTTACTTTTTGAACACACCTCGTATTTTATAAAGAGATTCAGTATTTCATTTCGTGTTCCTCTCACTTTTATTGGTAATAACTGTTTGAAATCTCCACCCAGAATCATGAGTTTTCCACCAAATGGTAAATTATTTCCCATAATATCTTTCAAAACTTTGGTTGCAATATCTAATGCATATCTTGGAGCCATTGGAGCTTCATCCCAAATAAAAACCGTAGTTTTTTTAAGTTTTTCAGCTTCTTTAGATTGAACTTTGATATTAGAAGTTGAATCATTAAACATGGGAACTGGTAAACCAAAAATTTTATGCACTGTTTTACCGTTAGGAAGTAGAGTGGCAGCAATACCAGTATAAGCCATTGTACATACTTTTATATTTTTTTATGTTAGTAAATCGTATATTGTTTCATATACATATGTTTTTCCTGATCCTCCTGGTCCCTTCATAAAAATACAAGTAGGTCCACTATAATTTTCATTGTCTACAGCATTGATAACTAAATCAACTATCTCTTTTTGCGAAGGATTTAAATTATTAAATTTCTGATTGCCTCTATCAGTCATTTCTTGTAATGAGATATTCTCTTGAACGTGAAGAATATTAATTGGCAATAGTGGTGGCATTGAAGGAAAATCGTTTAAACTTTTACCTTCATTGTTTAATATACTATTAATATCTTGATATGCCATTTGATAAGCGATATCTTTTTCCCATGTTGTAGAAAAATCTTCTGATAATGCATCTTGAAAATTTGTCCATAATTCTTCTGGTTTAACAGGCTGACAATGTATTAAAATTCGAACGAAAAAGAAACGAAGTCTTTGCGGCATCATCCATTGCACTCCTTCATTTATAGCTGTATTCCATTCATCATCGTTTTCAATTAAACCTAAAGCTAAGCAAGCTGCAATGAAAGTTGGATGTATGACGTTATCAACTGTTCTTAAATGCTCAAAATTTACAGCACCTTTTACATGTAATAGTAATAATCTTAAATGAAATAGTTCTAACTGGGCTGGACTTACAGAATACATCCTACCAATTGTATTAAAATGTTTTTTTCTAGGCTGCCACTTTGTAACAGTGACATCCATTAACTTTATTTTTTTATGTGTAAAGTGAGATGGAATTTGATAATAATAATACTGTCTTGCTGATTCATCATCTCTATTTAATTTAAAGTAGTCTAATAGCAAACTGCTTTTATTTTGCAAAAATTCTAAATTTATCTCATTAACTGATTCAGAAAATATTATATTTTGTTCATTCGGTAAATGTATCGGTAATCTAATAATAGAATGACTTTTGTCTTGTAAAGGTTTGCTAAGTATGCGCCAACACGCTTCAACAGGTCCAACGTAACGTGCATCAAGATATTGATAGATTTCATTATGTATAACCATATTACCATTTTCAGAATCTTGGATTATAATTGTTGCTGCATCATGACCTTTATAAATGTCCTTGTACAAATATTTTACGGCACAAATGCTTGATACCGCTGCGAGATTAATATGGCAATCAAATAATTTCAATAATAATGGACAGTATGGTACTACCCAACGATTATCTACTACGTGATCGTTTGTTTTATCAACAGGAATGCCATCGTTTCGTCTTTGATAGTACGGATAACCATTTTCATCCATGGTTGCTTCGTTTTGAAATTCTTTTGGAAAATGTTTTGAGCATTCTCCATCTTTCATGCACCAGACACCACAGGGTCCGTGTGTCATGTGATTTATTACAAGATCGTGCAGATGCGAATTGTCTGTTTTATTAGGAATTTCTGCAGAAATAAATTTGTCTATAATTTCAACAGTAGTCCATTTATATCCTACTGATAACGTTATTAGTAAATGCAAGTGCGGTAAACCTCGTTTTTGAAATTCAATGACATATACATAAGCTGTCACTTCACCAAATAATTTTTTCTTTATAACTAAATCAAGTAAACGTTTTTTTTTCAAATTAAATACTCGTGCAACATTATCAGGCCGGTCACATGCTTGTTGACCAGGTAAAAGGTTTTCTTGTATTTCAACCCAATTAGGATTACACGTCATAGTCAGAAAAATATCAGGTTTTCCTTTTTCATTTACCAAAGCCATTGAGTCTTGATAACATTGTTGCATATAACGTGGTGAACCTATAAAAGTAGATGGAAGAATGACAGATTTACCAACTCGACCATTCACATTATTAGCAGAGTTTTGCATATAATCACTCAAACCTTTATATGTATCTGATCGCAATTCTTGTTGGTGATCTTTACAGTATTGAATACGGTCTTTTTCAATTTTTAATTTTCTTTTTCAATTCTTTTTCATTTTCACTAAAATGAATGGATTAAATTCATTGAGCCTTATTGCAATTCGAAATTTATAATAAGCCATATGAGTTACACGTTTGTTGACATCATCTTTTCGTTGTAAATGTTTATGCCACCCGGGTGAACCATACGGATAAAATAATGGATATATCCACGGCTCAACATTTGGATCCATTGTACTAACACATTGTAATGATTTCGTATTATTATTTCTAATAGTTACATACGATTCTGAATTCTCTCCATTAGCTGTCGTAGTAAATATAGCAGCTACTTCATTAATTCTTTGAAAGTTATATCTTCTTCTGTCTTGCCCTGATTTCAAAGAAAAAAGTAATTGTAATTCCGGTTGAGGCTGATCAGTTTCATTAAATAATTCTTGCTGATATACAATTTCTTGTCTCATCATATGATACGATTGTGCGAAAGCATTATTTTCCCAAATTATTGTATCTAAGATTATGTTAAGATCTTGATTTAAATTTGAAAATGTGTTCATTCGATAATTTATTGCTTCCTCTTGATCAATAATAAAAAGCTGACCATAGGATGGATTTTCATCATTACACGGATATAGTGATGTATTGATTTGATAATATACTTGTCCTTGAATTTTAAAACAATATGGACCTGGTTGACGTGATTGAAAATTAACCAAGTTAGCATTGAAGGACGCAAAAGATAATGAATTATTGTACGCTCTTATGCGTTCAAAAAATAGAACAGATTGACGTTGTTCTCCTTTTAGTAATAACTTTAGTAATAATGGATCTAAAAAAACTGATCCATGGCCACAACAGTCATTAAATCACAATCCTTTACCACTTACCATCTCATCTTTAAAATGTAATGCATGACAATGCTGACATGAATTTTCCAATTTTCCTAAATTATCTGGTCTAGTATTATTCTGTATATTTATTGGTGTCGAATCCCGTGTAGTCCTATTGTTTTCATGAATCAAATGTCGACTTTGTTGCCGTCTAAACCGCTGGCGTTCTGCTCTTTCTTGTCGTCGATTTTGCTGAAAAGCCTCCTCTTCTTCTTGTGACCGAATAGTTTTTCTAGGCATAATGTTTAAATTACAAATTTGCAATATATAACTATCACTAAACAGTAAATAATTTTAAAAGTAATTGTTAAAAAAGACGTATAATAAATCACCTTACTTAAAAATTAATGTATTATTTTTTAAATATATGAAAAATTGATTACTTTAATTATTAATGTCGAATCATCACATGTAAACCCAACCCTACTAAAAGAGTAATTTCAAAAAATAAATATTGCTATTTACAACATTGTGAGCATGTTAAATATTCGTACAAAAATTTAATTTCATGTAATGTAATAATGTAGGTTTAATTCGGTATAATAGATTTCATATATTAGTTTAAATTTCATATATGAGTTCCAATTTCGTATAATAGTTTAAATTCTGTAACGGGGGGGTAAACCTGCAAAATGAGAAATTTATATAAGAGCAAACTCCCACGATGCAGAGCAAACCGCCGCTCCGTTAACACGTATGTTAGTACGTGTATTCGCCTTAACGTCAGCTGACTTAACTTGGTTGTCTTCGATCAAGCAGAGTTGAACTCACCTTAAGTCACGTGCCTTGTGACACACGATGAGTTTCAAGTGTAATCGACTTTACTCCTAATACACTCAATCCCCTAGCTATGATCGGATTAAAACTTAAGCCTATTTCAATTGTTTAAACTACTAGGAGAAATCATACGACGAAATCGGCGAATAATTTTAATAGATTTTATTAATAAAAATTTCTACAGTCTTTATCGGGCCGAAAGACTGACGCACGCGAACAGGATTTACAATTAAATAACTTTCGGTGAGAAAGAGAGAGAGAGAGAAGATACGAAAATTGGCGCGATCTAACGCTCGGCGCGAATACAAAATTATCAACGCTAACGCGGCTGAACAAAATAATAAATATATTTAGACACGCGATAGTAAAGGGAGGTGCACCTACCCTGCGGTGCAATTACGGTGATCAGCCGTAATTGTTGATGTCAGCAAAATATCAACTGCCTCCGGTCCTAGGTTATCAGCTGTGCTGCCTCGTACCACCTATCAGCTGCAAATCTGCTGCTACCAAAACGCTGCAATCTGTAGGTCTCGTTGTTGCACTCACGCGCGTGATTCTTATGGACCAGTAACTATTAGTCGGCGAGAAAAAACAGTGCAAATAACTTCGGCGATATCTACTTGTCACAACAGCTGAGACGTAACTGCTAATTTGAAAGATCGCGCGCCCCCTCTCTCTCTCAATACTTAGAACTAACGCGCGAAAATCAGAATCGCGAACGGTTCGATTAATTGAATCGACTACCGTTGCAGCCCCCTCCAAGTCCTGACTACCCGGACAGGACGAATACCCGCGATTCGCTGCCATCAGGAACCTGAAAGTAATAAAGAAGGAAAGGAAACAAAATAAACACTCCCTTCTTTATTTCGGCTAATTTATTTGCCCTCCAGGGCCTACATCATTGTTTGGCTACACCTGGCGCGCGATGTTTCGGGTAGCGCCAGTGTGTAGCCTTCTTCGGGCACCGCTGGGAGTTGGTCACCCCAGGCTCTCCACAGATGTAGCAGCCCCTCAGCTGCGACCGAGATTGAGCAGCCTCTCGTCCTTGTGATGGCTGCTCAGCAGCCAGAGGGGACTGCTGGGCACTGACTCCCTGTGAGGCGACGATGGTCACGCCTCCCACCGTGGCGGTCGCACGTCCATCCTGCGACCTAACCACGATGGTGGTATCAGGAGCCATGCGCCCCTCCACATGAACCGTGAGCGTCGGTCCAGCGTCAGTAGCTCCCGGGACTCTCTTCTTTTGAGCCGGCGCCGGGAGCGCTGCGGAGGACTCTTGTCCGTTATCTACCCGCAGCAGAGCCTCTTCATAGGCCCTCTGACGCTGAGCCATCCCTGCCCACTCCCCGAGCAACTCTTCTGCGCCCTGGCGGCTCAAAAAGCGTCTCAGGTGCTCCTGCACCTGAGACTGGAGTTCTTGAGCGAACCGCCAGGCACTCCCCACCTCGTTGATCCCCAGACGCACGTGTCTGAAGTCGAGGAGGAGAGTAGGCTGCTCAGGGATCCGGGGATGATTGCAGACCCAGTGCGAGGCCCCACAGGTTTCCCTGGGTCCTGGGCATTGGCTCGCACTGTCCGACGTAAGGGTTACGCCGGACTTGAGGGTCTGCACCCCCTGGTCCATTGTAGACTTGGGACGTTCGACACTGTCCTGGTCCTCGGTCTGTGTCGAAGCGTCCCGAGAAGCCTTCTTCGGGGCGACCCACGACGAATCCCGGAGAACCTCTGCCACCGAGGCATTACGCCGATCCCTTCGGGTGGTCCCTTCCAACTGGACCCTGGCGAAGCTCCGCAGATCTTCAATTAGCTGCGTCGCATCAGAGCCCAGTTGCAGATCTAACAACATCTGCGTGACCACCTCGAAGGTCTCCTCTTCGACGACGATTCTCCGGTCCATCTGAAACATCCAAAAAACAACAAATTTCGGATGAATCTCCCTGCGCGAAGAAACAATCCTAATAATAGCCGCATCCCACCGAGTTATACGCTCCCTCGCGATTCTTTGTGGGAACGTCCTGGTCCTCGTCGGTTACCGCTCGGTTTTATCGGCCCAACCGTCCTTTGTACGACGGGCACGGTCCTTCGAGGCCTACCTCTCCCTCTATTCACCTTCACGGGAGAGTTGTTGCCCCTCGCTGGACCGGTGACCTTCTCTGGAACCTTTCGAGGTCGACCTCGACCTCTCTTAGTTGGGGCAGATACCGGTAACTCCGACGTCTCGGTGGGAACTTTATCTACGACCGTGGGGGCTGCCAACTGGACCCGCTCGCTATCTGATAAATCCCCTCCCGGATTTTCGCGCGCATTCGCGGAATCGTTCGCATCCTCCGACGGCAGTTCTTCTGGCGGCTCGCGAGGTTCGATGACCTCCTCGCTTTCCTCATCCTCACCCGGACCGTAATATGGTTTAAGGTCTTTGGCATGGAAGAGCTCAGATAGGATCTCCAGCTGATTGCCTAGCCTGTACGTGTTGGAACCACAAACCTCTTCAATCACGTACGGACCGGCATATTTCGGCGCTAATTTAGCTGAAATACCTTGAGCAGCTGAAGATAGAATCCTGTTCCTCTTCCAAACCCAATCTCCGACCTTAAACTCGGGTTGCCGTCTCTTCCGGTCATAATAAGCCGCCTGACGCGCAGCTTCCTCCTTTGACTTGGAGTTAGCTCTCTCCCACAAATTAGGAAGCTTCTCCATATGTTCAGCCCAATCTTCCACAGCCTGACCCTCTGAACATTCAAGGGCCTGTTGATCTTGGGTTCTTCTGAACGTCAAAGGAGGTACCGGCTGACGCCCAAACATGAGCATCGCAGGACTATATCCGGTGGCGCTATGAGTTGCCGAGTTCAACGCGAAGTTGAACTCTGACAGGTGTTCATCCCAGCTCTTATGATCACTGCTTACGTAAGACGTGATCATGGTCTTGAGTGTCCTGTTTACTCGCTCTGTGGGGTTCGCTTGGGGATGATACACGGGAGTCAAAGCGCGCTGGATGCCGTTCATCTGCAGGTATGAATCGACCTCCTGATTCTTAAATTCGGTTCCATTATCCGACAAGAATACCTCTGGCGCACCAAACCTAGTGACGATCCTCTCGTGTAATTCCCTTGCGATTGTCTTCCCATTGGCCTTGCGTATCGCAACACACTCTACCCAGCGAGTAAACAAGTCTATAAAGACTAAGATATACTCAAAACCTCGAGAGCTTTTGGGAAATGGACCAGTGATATCACCGGCCACCACCTGCCAGGATCGTGATACTTGTCTACGACCCATCA